AGGCAGTAAAGAGTGAGAGGGCAATGCGTGTAGATGGGGGAGGGGAGAAGCAAGAATCGGCACGAAATGTGTTATCAGATGAAGTGGAAACATGCAGGCACACCAACTGCATCTTGCCCACACTCCCGATAAATCACCGAAGTCATGCTGCCGCCAAAACAATCACCACGGCAACCAGCAGCAGTCTGCAACAGCAGCTCTTTTCCATTCCCACATGCATGCAATGCTGCTCACTCAGAGTGTACTGCAGCCTCGGGTGCGTGGTGGGCGGTGCCACAGCATTGCAACGAGAGAGCCAAGAACCAGCAGCCCGGAGATGCCAGCGAGGATGCCGACGTTGGTCCACTGCCGTGATTCCTTAAAGCCTAAAAAGGTTGCATACTGCGGCCCGGTGTAGCACATCGTCTCCTTGTTCGGCACACAGCCAAAGTCTCTGCCGAGGAACTGCGACAAAATGGAGGACTCGTACGCGAGCCGAATAATTGAGACGTTCGAGAGGAATTGGAAAGGCTTCGGCAACGTAGTAAGATTGAGAATAATGCCGGCGAGAAGTAAGTTCAGCGTGTAGACAGCGAAGAGGGCAAACATAGCCAATCGGCGCGTCCATATCACCGTACAGAAGAAGAACACTACAAAGTGACTGCAGAAAGACATGACACCCACAATGAGCACAAGCTCCATGGTGGGGAGGTAGTAATCCCACTTCTCCACAATGTTGGAAACGCAGAACACGACGAATGTAAACACCGACAACGAGAAGGCCCGCTCGAAGGCGCAGTATATCACGGCGTATGTCATGTAAGTGAAGACGCCATAGTATCCATGTGTGCGGTGGCGCAGGAAGCTATTGTACTCCTTTCTCTGTGCGTCGAGGGAGAGGATGCTGTGCAGGAATGTTGAGCTCACGAGGAAGAAGATGATGCCAATGCGGTTCTGCATCCCACTCTGTCCCTCTTGGCTGTTGTACACTGCCGCCAGCACCACCGCGAGTATGACGAGCAGGACGAAGAGAGATCCGCCCACGAGGAGGTTGTGCCGCACCTGCAACAAGGAGTACTTCAGCATGTAGTACAACCGAACGTGTGCGCCAGGGCTTGAGTACGTTGAGCCGCCGCGTGCCTCCCACCCGGTTGCACACTTGTGAAAGAATTGCAATACATTCTTCTGCACACGTTCTGCGTTGCCAGAGCGCGCAAAGGTGGCAGAAAGCGAAGTCTCCGCGTTTGAAGCTAGCCGATAGAGCGAACTTATGGCATTATCTACGAGCCCCGATGCGGGATCCGCTCGAATCGCAACGAGAAGCTCCTGCAGCGTTCCACAAAAAACACAGCGCTCACGGTCGAGGAGTATGACATCGTCAACATATTTCAGCATCGCCCAACGCGGCTGAGCCATCGAGACAAGAACGATGCGCTCACACCGCCGCTGGACGCCCCACTCGATGTTGTGGCTGACAGACGACGAGGTTTCTATCGCAGAGGTGTCACCGAGTGACCTTAGAGATGAGGTCTGTGGAGCAGCTATGGTGGTGACAGCGGTAGTATCAGCAGCTACCGACGGAGGAAGTAAAGGAGGAGGAGGAGGTGCCGCGATTCGTCGGAGGAGGCGCATGAACTCCTGCGCCTCATAGGTCCACAAGCCCTCCAGCAGCTGGTCGAAGCAGAGCACCTCCGGGTTCAGCAGCAGCTCCTTGCCGAGGGAGACCCGCCGCCGCACGTAGAGGGAGCAGTGACGCACCACTCGGTCCGCAACCTCCTCGAGCAGCAGCTCCTCCATGATCTCCTGCACGGTGAAGGCCCGAGTGGCGACGCGCATCGACGCGGCGTACTCGATGCTCTCCCGCACCGTGAGCTCTTCGAAGGCGGTGAATCCCTCGTCAATGAGCACAGTTCGCTGCAGATACGCGGGAGCATCGACAGGGACACCGTTCATCATGATAGTGCCACTCGCGCACTCCTCCTGTCCAGCCAGCGCGTTGAGGAGGCACGAATCGTTCTGCGTGCCACTACAGTTCACAATTGCGGTGAGACGACCACCATGTATGATGCCAGCAGCGTTATCGATCACCACGGACTTGTCGCGGTACATTGTCAGGTTGTCAAATCCCAGGGTAAGCGCGCAGCCAGAGGTGTAGGAAGACGCCAGGTCGCTCGACGCCGCATCGCCAGGCGCCGTCATCGCCCCCTCCCCCCCCGCGTGGTCTCCGCCGTATATGTTATGTTGTTTCACTAGCAACTAGGGGGGTGCGTGCGGGGATATATATATACACACACGCACACAGAGAGAGAGAGAGAGGGGAAGAGAGAGGCATGCGCTTAGCTGCAGCAGAAGCAGCAACGGCGGCGCCAGCAATCTCTGACAGATGGAAATCAAAAACCAGAGGGGCTGGCGACACCGAATACCGTTGCACCGCTCCCCCCCCCCGGGCATACGAACGGTGCAACAAGCAAAAGGCAGCACGGAGAACTAAAAAAAAAAGACACACCAAG